TAGGCTGCAAAATAACAATTCAACCGTTCTCATACTACTACACAATTTATTCTTTTTTATAGGTTATTTTGAAAAACAAAAAATGTTTCTATACTTTATGGGCATTATGAAGAAAAATATTATCGATTTCAAATTTCTTACTTATATAAGTTATAGTTTGTCTTTTATATTTTTATGATCTATTCTAATTTTTTGAATAATTATTTTCAATTAATCAATCACAAGAAGTACATTACATAATGGACAGTGTCAAATATATTGAAAGTTGAAAAAATAATATTTAAAAGTAATAGTGAAAAAGATTGCATGAAAATTTTGGTTGAGAAACCTTCATTATCTGAGTTAGTCTTGTTTATTCGAAATCTTTTTTGTTTGGGGAAGATTGACAAATATGAACATTAAAACTAAATTAAAATCTTTGACATGAATAATTGCATATGATAGTTTACAATTTTGTCTTCTTATCTTGTTGAAAGAGACCATTCTTTGTCATTATTTTTATTGATAAAATATAGCAGTTATAAGTCAACTGCCATATGTTACCAAAGTTTTTATATATTTGTTCATATTATCTTCTTCTTTTCCAGTAAAATAGTTTTTGTATGCTTTTTTTTCTTCATTGGATCTTATTAATTATATATTTTCGTGAGTTATAAATATATATTAATATTTAAGTTTTGGTTGAATTTCAATTTTTTTTTTTCATTCAAATACTATTATATTTTTCATGAACTATTACAAACATATGGTACACAATTTGATTTAGATTTCAATAGTCTTAAAAGATAATTTAAAAACATTAAAGCAATTATTTGGTAAATTGTATCGTTTTTTAATTTTTTGCTTAAGAAATAAAATTGATTTAAATTAAAGATTCATATTATGTATAATTAGCGATAGTTTTGGCCTCCATATCACATTTAATACTAACATAATTGTTATTAATAAACTTATAAAATTAAATAAATATTGCTAAAAAATTTATCTTATATACTTACGGTTAAATAAACTCTTAAAATTATTGAGAAAATCACAAAAATATTTACAAATCTTAAAATAATGTCAATAAATAAAATATTTAATATACAAAAATTTGAATTATCATTGTTTATAGAGCGCTCATCTTGAAAATCAATTGCTCATGTGAAGCAATAATATTTTTTATTAATTTTTTCCTTATCTATCATACTGAACGCGTTATTATTTATTTATTTATTTTTATTTTTTATTTTTTATTTTTTTTGGTACAGAGATACATTGTTTGTCTAATTTTTTTTTTTAAAAAATGAGTATTTGGTAAGGTAATGTCATAATTTTGTTTTTTCTGTACACTAACTTAACATTTTGATAATTTTTAAAAGTTTGTTCAAATTTTAATATCATTGAAAATCTTATTTAAATAAATGTAAAATTTAACGTTTTGATAATTTTTAAAAGTTTGTTCAAATTTTAATATCATTGAAAATCTTATTTAAATAAATGTAAAAGTTTCAGACAAAAAGTGAAAATGGGGAGTGACAAGATATTCAAAAGGGAGAAATTTTGATAAATAGACGGCATTGATAATTGGGCCAAACCAACATACATAAACCCCAAGATCTAGAATGTGTTTAATTAAAAATATTAGTTTAGAATGGGATATTAAATTACAAAATTGACATTATAAACATGACAAAGTAAGGTTAATTTAGGGATATCATATTTTTACAGATTCATTGGCTCTTTTATAATAGTATAGATATAGATTGTGGTATAATTTTTATTTTCATGCCAAACATAGAAACGTTTGCATAAGGGGCGTAGCGAGAAATTGTTTTTTCACATTATTCGAATCTGAGTTATCCGATAACATAGTCTGATTCAACTTGTGAAAATTCGACTCGCTTATATATTTAAATAATCCAAAAAGAAATACCTAATAATCGAGATTGTCTATCAAACAAATTTTTCGTGATCAACTCAATGAGAATTTTGGATTTTGATCTAAGTTTTATGGTTTACTAAATAAAATGAACCAAGTTTTTACGAGTTGAACTCGAGCTTATTTATTTATCTTTTTATTAAACAAGCTGAGTCATGCAACTTGTTTATCAAGTACACACTATTTTGTACATAGTGTATTCGACATAAATTATCTAGCTAGATGCATCATGTATGCATACAGAAGTCAAGGGTGTGAAACTTATTTTACTTTATTTAATATTAATTACATGAATCCCATAATAAATAATATTAAAATATCAATGTTGTATTTATATATAAAATAAAAATAACATTTGGTACACTTTCTAGTTTTGTATCAGTAGATGACCATAACGAAAACTTGTGAATTATTAACTACTCTCTAGTCTCTTGTACATATTATGATAAATGATCATTTGTAACTGATTTATTATTATTCAATAAATTACAAGGATATTTTCTCATATAATTGAACTTAATTAGAAAAGTACTATATTTTATTAAAAAGACTACTATGCAATGGTATTGTAGTCCGTCATTCTTTTTATATGACATGTCATTTAAAGTTTATATGTCATTTCATTTAATATGCCACACAAATAAATGAGATATAATACTAATCATATACTCAAATATCATCTATTTAAAAATCAATGAATATCTAAACTAAATTGTGATATCTATAAATTTAATACACTAAATATTCTAACGAAAGTCTAGCACAATCAAATATTGTCTTGGATACAATGAAAAATGGAACTGATTTAGCTAATAACAAAAACTAAACACAAATACAAGACGAAAAAATGCATAGTAAGCTAAAAAGAAAAATGGAATGAGATTTAAATTATGTTTAAGTATATAATTAACTGATTTAATATAAAACAAATTAAACTTATTTTGAAATAAAATAAGACTAGCACAGGGTAAATAGAATATAACATGAACTAAAATATTTTTTACTAATATAAATTTAACGTTGTCAAAAAATTAAGACCAACATGGAGCTCACACCAGCCTTTTTGGGGTGGCTTCGCTCCTGGTTTGCATGGCTGAATTCGAGAAGTTCATGTCATGGTCATCGACTTATGCAATACAAAAAAATTAGAAAGGAAAAAAAAGCATACCGCACGTGCCCTGATTCTTGACACGAGTAACGGCCCCTTTTTCTCTCCAGTCGACCGATTTTGGCACGTTCTCAAAGTCCCTATACTTAAATTCCCTAGTGGAATCGTCTCTATTAGGGAGCCTATCGACCTTGAGCCCTAAATACGTCTTCTTGAACTCCTCATGGCTCAAGTCGGCAAATTCATTCAACCCGAGCCAATAGTTGGTAACGATCTTATTCCGCTCGTGTATGCGCTTCAAGTTGTTCTTGAAAATCTCAAACCTATGCAACTTCTCCTCAATGCTCTTGTACTTCTTTTCGTGCTTGTCAATCCACGACTCGAACAGGTTTATAAGCTTGTCGATGGACGCGAGGTCGTCTGGGTTGTAGCCCACGATCGAGAAGTCGCGGGCCCAGGCCGTGATCGAGAAGGAGAGTAAGACGAGGCCCACGGGGAAGAGTAGCTTAGGGGATGATTGGAAAGCCATGTTTGGTTTAGTGGTGTTTAATTATGTTTTTGTTGGGTTTGATTAGGGATTGTGTTGGGAGGGTTTTTTATAGGATGTGTTGTGTTTGCTTTCAAGTGAAGATGGCTTTGGCTTTAAGGTTTGGTTCTTTTTGGAGGTGAGGCTTTGTTTGGAAGCATGGATTTTGAAATTCAATGCATAATCTAGAATTTTCTAGATTATTAGTATGTGTTTGGTCATGATAAAGTAAAATAGGTAAGGAAACATTTTCTGCAAATATTTTCTTTTAAGGAAATATATCAATTATGAAATATATGAGTTATAAGTTGGGTTGAAGTCCACCACATGTAATCATGTTTCCAGAAAATACAAATTGAGAAGTGAGAACCGGTTAGCGCCCACTGCTAAATTCAACTTAAATTAGTATTCGACCTGTGCATTTGCACAAATAAGTATTGTGAGTTATTTATATACATATAATGATTAATTATTTTTCTTTCACCTTTTTGCTGACCAAATTTACAATTAAAGGAGTTGGAATATCTATTTTTTTTTTAAATTGCGTTTATCTGATTGGATGTAATGTATATTTTGGTACGTCTTTTTTTTTGTGAATTATTTATTATTTATTTAAGAATTTCAAATACGTTTTTTATTTTAAAAATAATAATAATTTAAATTTAACCACAGTTATAACATCTAATCACATTATATGGTAAACACATTATATGGTCAACTGTCAATAATCAAAAGTTTAAAATGATTTTTGTAATTTTGAAGTGATTAATGTTGATTATTTAATAATTAAATGAAAGATTAAATACATCAAAAGTGACGATTTTTGGAGGAAAAAGGGTTAAATTGCCACATAGGTAAAATTAAATAGGTTTTACTAAATGCTATTAGCTAATAATTATATATATATAAATTTAGGGGGATTATGTTATGCGGCGGTGGCCGATTTTTCTCCGGAAGTTACTTTTTGTTATTTAATGGGACAATTTTATTACAACATGAATGAATTGTACAGTGAGATGCAAAGGAGTTTGTGATTTGTATATACAATGGAAATATTTAAATTTAATTACTTGTTGTGTTGTATATAATATGGGAAATATTTAAATTTAATTAATTATTGTGGATTTTACAAAATAACTATTTTAAATTTAAGTGTGTATTTAATTGAGATTTTAAAAAAAAAAAATTGAAGAATTTTTAAGACTTTGAAAATTATGGTATAATTTAATTTAGAGTTCTCAAGACTTACAAAAGTCTTGAGATATTCATTTGGTATTCATCCCGATGTATTTAATTATTTGAGATTAAGATTCGTTAAAACTTTCTAAGATTTGTTAAATAAACATATACTAAAACTCATTACAAATCTCACATTCAAACTTAAAATTTCACAAGATTCCTCTAATTTAAAAATTTCAAATCTCGAATAGCCTTTAAATGTCACTCAAAATTCCAAACGAATACACCTACTTGTCGTGGATTTTACAAAAGCTACTTGCTAAAGAAGTATGAATATCTAGTTGCCACTTAAAATTGGTAAATTTTACTAAATGTAGTTAGGACTATATTGTCGAAAAATTTTACTAAAATCAAAAACAACTTTAGTTACTAAAAAACAAAGTATCATAAATCAGTGAAAATAAATAGATAAAATATTGTGAGTGAATCAATTTTTTGATAATAAAAAAAAAAATTATTTTCGAAATTCAAAGGTACTAAAGATAATAAGAAAAAAAGAGAAATGTAACGGCTACACAGTAAATGAGGTTTTGACCAATATTAACATAACAACACATTAATACAAATCAAACATGTTTTTATAATAAATTAATAAAAAAAAATAAAATTGAAAAGTAACGGTTTTTGGCGGGAAAGTGCCACGTAGGTATAATTTAATAGGTTTATTAAATGCTTATGAGCCAGTAATTATATATATACTAGTATTCAACCTGTGCATTTGCACAAATATATAAATAATATTATGAGTTATTTGTATACATATAATGATTAATAATTTTTGTTAAATTTACAATTCAAGGAGCTGAAATATTTATTTTTTTTTTTTAAATTGCGTTTATCATATTGGATATAATGTATATTTTGGTATGTATCTTTTTTTGTGAATTACATATTATTTATTTAGGAATTTCAAATATGTTTTTTATTTTCCGAAAGAAGTTAATTTAAATGTAACCACAACAATAACATCTACTCACATTAAATAGTCAACACATTATATGGTCAACTGCAAGTAATTAGAAAATTTAAAATGATTTTTGTAATTGTAAAGTAATTAGTGTATTGATTACCTAATAATTAAATGAGATGTTAAATGAATAAAAAGTAACGGTTTTTGGAGGGAAAAAATTATATTGCCACCTAGGTATAATTTAATAGGTTTTATTAAATGCTCATTAGCCAGTAATTATATATATATAGATATAGATTTATCAGTTGGGTTTTGTAAGTCGGAACAAACTTATCTTGCATGGAAGAAAATGTGGATCATATAATGCTTCCTGTAATCGAACGTTATTTTACAATCTTGCCGTGCCAAAGTTGTTGGAGGTGAATTTAACGCTGCTTGCTAATTTGTTTATATTTACATTTACATATATAATTATTCTTAAATTTTAAAATTAATGCAAAAATTAAAATAAATTTAGTTACAAAAAAAATATATTACTATATATTTTAGAATGATATGTGTTACTTATGACTTACATGTGTTATATTATATTAGTTGTTATAACTTATATCATATAACTACTTGAAATATAAATATATATTAGTTGAGAAATAATTTTATTTTTCTATTAATATTAAAACTAATTTCATTATTGTTATAAAGATAAATATAATTATTTTTTTATATATACAATATGGATGTTAAATTGAAGCTCATCAAAAGAAGATTAATTTGATATATTACATATGTAAAACTGATAAAAAATACATAAGTTATTAACTTTTAAAATATATATACAATTCAATAGTTATAATAAGGAATGATATTAAAATACAATTAATACATGTAACATGACCATAAATAATCAATATATTTATAGTAATCCGAACCTAATTATTTTTGTTTTGAAATTAAATTAAAATTTATCCAAGTCTAATAACAAAGCATGTAATTTTGTCATATAGGATTCTGAAGCACCAGAAGCAGCCACGTAGACTCAGCACGTTTTGTATTAATATATAGGGGATTCAAAATGTAATTTTGTCGTGCCAAATTGTTGTTTATATTGACATATATATTTCTAAATTTAACTTTGTCGTGCCAGAGTTATTGGACGTGAATTTAACACGGCTAATTTGGTTATATTTACGTATATATTTCAAATTTTTTAATTTGTAAATAATTTTTATTTTTTTTAATCTATTTACAAATTAATTAATTTAAGGTTAACGTTGGATTATTAATCCAACTTTAAGTATCCGACTTTGTTGGCTTCTATTTATTTGAGATGAGATTATTCAACTTAAATTTTTACTTCACAAATTTCCTTAATAATTGTAATTATTAATCTATAGGGAAATTTCAAAATTGATCATATAATTTGGCCACAATCCAAAAAACCACCCATATATTGATCACTTTCAAAATTGGTCCTATAATTTCAAAATTTAATCAAATTTGATCCTTTTTAATCAAATTTGGTCATTTTTAATCACATTTTAATCCATGTTCCGGATAAAAGGACAAAATTAGATTAAATTTTGAAATTATAGGACCAATTTTGAAAGTGCTCAATATCGGGGTGGTGTTTTGGACTGTGTCCAAATTATATGACCAATTTTGAAATTATGTCATTAATCTATATATCTATATAAGATTGGATTCACATGAAAATAGTTCTCAATGAAAGAAATGAGAATAAACCGTAGTCATTAGATCTGATGATCTAATGACTAAAAAAAGTTAAAATTATACCTTCATTAAAGGTAATGAAGTAATTTTTTACACATCACCCAAAATGTAGGCCCCACTCCACAATATTAATTACACCTACCACCTGTCAACTACACATAAGTCGGTCAACACACAACCATCTCACCCAATCCACCACCACACACTCTCTCTCTCACACACACACGCAAATATCAAACACACGCAACACACACAGTATCACACACACACACACACGACACACACACATACACATAGTAACCGGCGGACCGCCCGACATCCACGCAGCTCCGACAGCCATCCATTCCAGCACTCACTCACAGCGCCGCCGTCCGCCGCTATCCACTGACGGTTTCCGACGACTTCGTACAACAAGTATGAAGGTCCTCCTATCGAACACCCGTCGGAGAAGACAACCACATCGCCTCGTTGGTTAACTCTTTCGTCAGCCGTCTCCCTCCACCGCCGTATTCTCGCCGGAATCGAGACGGGCGATGAGGCTGTTGAAGATGAAGTCGGCCATGGAGATGCTAACGGGAACCCGAACACCGCAGAAATGTTGGGGGAGATGACTGAGAGGGCTGAGGCGCGGAGGAGGCGGTGGACGGAGATGTTGGAGGAGGTGACTGATACGATTCCGACCGACTTCACTGCGGGCGCTGAACACATTCAACCGACGACCTGAGTGGAAATCTCCGAACGGCGTCCTCGCCGGATGGTCCGCCTCCGCCGGAAGCTCGGGCCTTCTCTGATGAGAGTGATGGTGTTGATACAAGCGGGAGTGATGGTAATAGTGGGGATATATTTTGAGAATTAGATTATCTTTAGGGGCTTATGTGTAATTTTATAATTTTATTTATATTTCAATTTAACCCATGGGTCAAATATGTAATTTTCAAAAAGTATATTATTTTATATTTTGTTTAAATACATAAAATAAAAAATATTAACTAAAATGAGATAAAAAAAAATATTAAAAATCATTGGACATATTGCACATTATTGACTGACCTGTTGCACTTTTTTGTCAGTAAAATTGCACTTTAGCATAACAATTGAACGGTAATGTTAATTAAATTAATAA